GTGTGTGTGTGTGTGTGTGTGTGTGTGTGTGTGTGTGTGTGTGTGTGAGAGAGAGAGAGATCTTTTTTATGAAGTTTCTTATTTTCTAAGTTGTATATCAGAGTAAAATCTTTATATTTTGGACCATTCAAACAAAACAAGACATTTGAACAATTAATGGAGGAAATAATTGTTAGCTGATCAAAAGCTCCAGAACAGCCACAACATGTGTAGAGATGAGAGGGCATACAGCTTTACACACACACACATGTTAACGTTTATATATGATGTCATTGATCTAGAAACCATATCATCTATAGAATGTATCTCTATAGAGTTACAGTCTCACAATACATTGTGAGATGCTCTTTGTTGTCCTTCATGGTGAATGTCTCCTTCATGGTGAATGTCTCCTTCATGGTGAATGTCCTTCATGGTGAATGTCCTTCATGGTGAATGTCTCCTTCATGGTGAATGTCTCCTTCATGGTGAATGTCTCCTTCATGGTGAATGTCTCCTTCGTGGTGGATGTCTCCTTCATGGTGAATGTCCTTCATGGTGAATGTCTCCTTCGTGGTGAATGTCTCCTTCGTGGTGGATGTCCTTCGTGGTGAATGTCTCCTTCATGGTGGATGTCTCCTTCATGGTGAATGTCTCCTTCATGGTGAATGTCCTTCGTGGTGAATGTCTCCTTCGTGGTGGATGTCTCCTTCATGGTGAATGTCTCCTTCAAGCAGTCTCATTAAAACAACGTAGTGCAGGACTCTCAGGAGTGAGAGGAGAACAGAGTGGATGTTTCTCTGTGCAGATCGTCTGTGATAACAAGCGGTTATCACAGCGCATCGTGCAGCACAACAGAATTGTTCTCCGGTGAACCTCGTCTGTGCGAGACACAAAGCAGTCATTTAGGTCCCGGTGGCTGTACCAGTCTCAGTGTCCATGTTGTTTCTGAGGAGTTTGGTCACGTGGGGGGAAGAGATGAGACCCTGGAGACCAGCTAGGACAAGAGAGAGGAGAGATCTGTAGGGATGTCACATGATAACGGCTTCATTGTGCTTTTCAAAGGTTTTTATTGTTTCATGCAACCATCTCGTCCTGTTCTCTGTGATTTCCAGTTTAAAATGAACTTTGCCTTTAATCACTAACCCTGGCTGTTTGTTTCCTTCCCTCCTCTCCTCCTCTTTAACCTTTTCCCACTTCCTCCTCTCCTCCTCCTCTTCTTCTCCTTCTTCTCCTCCTTCCTCTCCTCCTCCTCCTCTCCTCCTTCCTCTCCTCATCAGACCACGGCCAGAAGGCCCAAGGTGAGCCCAGTCCTCAGTCTGCAGGTTTCTCATTTCTCTCACTTTGAATGATTTGATTGTTTTGCTTCATGAAGCAGTTTGTGTGTTTGTGTGAGTGATGCCGAGCTGTGACTACACATCACCACCAATGATCCATCTTATCTTCATTATTTTGGTTTATAGCAACAACATTGTTCTAGTTGCACGTTGCTCTACATGTATATTTACAGCATGAGTACTGTTCCTCTGCTGCAGCAGGTGTAGTCACTATTTCAATTAGTTCCAGAGCAGTTCTGATGTGTTGCACATGTAAACATCATATCTGGATCCATGTTTCTGATCATTCATTTCTGCCTTGTTTACATACATACAGAAAAACAACAAATTCAGAATAATAGGAAATAAAAGGAAAGTCTTGTATTGTTGATCTGGTGGAGAAGCTGAACTGCTTCACACATATTATCAGAAACCCACAGAGACAAACAGCTTTACTTTATCTTCAGTGTTATCGTCCTGAATACGACTCTAACCAGGATGCTCAATGCATGTAACCATGCAGTGAGGGGCCATTAAACCTCATCACAGTAGAATCTTCTCATTGTACACGTAGTCATGTTTTCTGTCTCATTGTTGTCTTGCAGCAGCCCAGCCGACCTGCAGGGGGGAGGGGGGCTGCGTCCGGCTCGGCCTCGGCCTCTGCTGGGGAGATGAGCAGCAGCGAGCCCAGCACGCCGGCCCAGACCCCTCTGGCTGCTCCGGTCATCCCCACCCTCCACTCCCCAGGGAACCCTCCGGCCCCCGGCCCCAGCAAGGTCAGTTATCCGCCTTCAGAACATCAAGCTGTGGGAGGAGCTACAGGGGAAGGCAGCTTGCTGATTCGTTTAGGACGAGGTGCATTCATAACATACTGAGGAACGACGCGGTGAGGGCTCACACTTCTGATATTTATGGGTTTCACATACAGGAAACAGGTGACTAATGCCAGCTGTGATGAAACATGCTATACATGGTGAGCATGACACATGACACTGTTGTAACACAATGCACATCGTGCCATCGAGATCAAAGACGTCTTCAGAGAGCAGACGTGTGGGAGTTACATCAGACGTGACCTTTGCTGTTCCACAGCTCCTCTAAGTATTCACTTTGTGTTGGTGTCATGAGAAGAAGGCTTTAACTGGTGTCTTCAGGTACATAAGGACACGTGGAATAAAACCAGGACTTCCAATCTAACAAAAGGGAAAAACAGGAAACTATGCAACAGACTTGATTATAGTTGTAATGTAGCAGCAGTCTTTAGTCGTACAATCTAAATGGCTTCTCCTCTCGGTGGTCATGCTTTGTCATGTGATCACACTAGAAATGCAACTAAATAAAGTTACTCAGAGCAGACAGTATGGATACTTAATAGGCTATTTAACACATATAGTTTAGTAGTTTAGTGCACACTGTAGAGAATTAGTGTGAGTGTGGGACACATAGTGTTCGGCTGGATTGATCACAAGTAAAACAAATCACACCTGAGATTCAGTGAGAAGTTAACCCTTTCAGTCCACAGAGGTGAGTGAGTGAGTGAGAGTTAGAGGTTAGTTAGAGGTTAGTAGTTAGTTAGTGAGTGAGTGAGTTAGAGGTTAGTTAGAGGTTAGTAGTTAGTTAGTGAGTGAGTGAGTTAGAGGTTAGTTAGAGGTTAGTAGTTAGTTAGTGAGTGAGTGAGTTAGAGGTTAGTTAGTAGTTAGTTAGTGAGTGAGTGAGTTAGAGGTTAGTTAGAGGTTAGT